TCTAAATACTGGGAATCGTATCTCTATCCACTTGTTGTATCCTTCTTTAACAGATGTACCTAATGAGTGTCCTGGGATTAATGAGTTCCCAGGGAGTGTCCTGGGATATTTTTTGCACACAAGAGTTCATCTATTTAGAATGTTTTAATAATTCTTTAGTTTTAGAAAGTTGACATCCATGGCTAATAACATGCATACAATGATTCTGATTGACTGACTTATAAGTATTGCGATGCACCGTTGAAGTTAATGCGTAGCTTATACACTTACACAATACACCATGTAGGAGTGAGTCTCCTGTGATTTTTTTTCGCACGCCTGGCAATTCGTTAAGAAATCTCAATTAATGAAATGCTTGGCGTAAAAATGTCCCAGGACACTCACACATTCATCCCAGGACACTCACACATTCATCCCAGGACACTCATTAGGTAGGAATTCCGTATCATATATAATGTGTTTAATGAATAAGACTCCTATCCGTGTCGTGATTTTGTTAATCTGTCACATATATCGTTTACGTCAATATTTAGTCATTCCCCTCCAGTAATATACTTACGTACTCTTATATAAGTTTATCCACATCCTTAATGATACATTACTCATAATCATTATATTGTAGATACATATCGAACAATTGCTTGAGAAATCCGATAAACCATCACAGGTTATCTCCCTTTGATCTTCCAGCGTGTACAGTAATAGGAATACAGATGCGTTCAATCTCGTTTACAATAATAGTGTAAATACTGTTGAAATCGAACGAAATGGTTTCCGAAATAATTAATATCATTGTTATGTCAAGAGGGACAAAAACATTTGGTTGGTTACTACATGATGTAGACAGTTATAAGAAATAAGTAAAAGGATTTTGACATACTATCTATATTGTGCCTGATCACAAAGCTTCAAGAACTTTATACTATTCCCATTTTATAACACAACCAACATTCCTAACTATAACACAAAAAGCATGTGCTAAGTCATTACTTTCTTATCTACAATGTGTGTAGTACAGTGCTTTGAACATTTTGAGCTTTTCTTATTTCTGTATATTTTTATTGTGATATGGGAAAAGAAATGTTACTTCTAGAGGTTTTATGACCATAAATGCAGGTGCTGTCAGTGAAGTTTTTGAATAGCAGGCCTTAATTCCGTACTTTATCAGGAGTTTCCGTGTCCGTGTAAATTTTGTTAATATTTTGTCAACTTTTCAACAATTTTGGTTTTGACTAACTATTTTGTTAACATCTCAGTATTTTCATATAAATTATGATTGTATGATTATATGTCGATAAAAAGGCAGAAATAAGTCGGCATATATAAATGGTATATAGTTATGAATGTTTGACATAACATGACAAATAATTATCCCAGCCTATAGTATCCTTTTTAGTCCATCATATCTTATACGGGGTAGATCCGAGCTGTTACTCTCGCGTTTCTTATTAGCTTTCTAAGACGTTTCGATGGCACTGTTAATCTGTTACTTTAGTGGCTGACGCTAGGTGGCGTGGTTACTACACTCGAAACAAACACGTTAATTAAATTTGTTAATGACGTGCTCCGTTACTAAAAATATAAGGTGTTGTTATTGGGATAGTAAAAATGTTAATCTCATCTAATTTAATTTAATAAACTGTTGCAGATATGAGACATTTCTTTAGAACTTCTGGGTAAAGTTTCACGAAAATTCTTAAGTACGTTCTCATGCTCAAATTTGAGAACAGCCAATCAGAAATGACGTTATATGCTCTAACGTCATTTCTGACTGGTTATTCTCAAATTTGAGCACGAGAACGTACTTAAGATTATTCATGAAACCCGACCCTGTAACAGTTCATAAGGATCCGACCTTACAAAATCACAGTGGTTCAGCATTAAGTGTTAAATGTTCTTTGCACTGGTCTGATTGATTGATATTCTTGTTTTATTTGACAAATGTGGAAAGAAACTGTAATTTGTATTTCGTTTTTTACAGACTGAGCTTCACAAGCCACCCCATTATGTAGGAGCAGCCCTGGCATTTGCAGGAGGGACAATATATTGCTGGATGCAAACAGTCTTGTCCAGGAAGTTGATGATAAAAAGAGGAGGAAGCCGTTCAGTTTTCATATTTCAGGCAATCGTTAGCCTATTTATGACAATTTCCCTTATCATATGTATCCTTTTTCTACAATTTATTAATAGAGATAACCTTTTGTAGATGCATTCGTACAATGAAACATTATTCTTTATTACCTTATTTGGTCATGCAGTTTCCTTAATGGTTTGCAGTTGGCGCAACAAAATTATCATACAAACTATTAGAAACATCAGGTGACAGAAAGATAATTACGGTAAGTGGATGTCAATTAAGAAAAACCTTACCCCTGTATGAATGCTACTTTTAAGTGGAAATGAATCTTACCTTTTCTAGAAAATTGATATTTTCCTTTTGATGCGTCATTGCAGTGGATACATTGCTGTTGAAAGAATCAACAATGGAAGAAGAGCATTTATCGAATGTTTGTTATCTGTCATACCAATCTAAGTTATCCAATGTCTTACTATTAAAGTAATATAATATTGAGTTAACTAATGCGAATATATCTTAGAAATAAATGATGGATTCAATAATAAAGGAACGAAATTCATAAATGTATTAAGGAGAAATGATTGTTTATTTTTATACAAAGTGTTTTTCAGTTAGAACGTAGACTCGATTTTACATAATGCGATATTTGTCCATTTCCGTCGTCATTGATGAAACCAAGGTTTATATATAGATATGTATTGTTATATTTCCTTAGCCGTAATCCACTGATAATAATGTCGCTTCATTAAGATATAGATAATTTTGTATATACTATTTGTTGAAGCTTTCACTGAAAGGAAAGTCTTCTTATTGACTTATTTTTACTGTTTCAGCCGTCACTGATGGGACTTTATCTGACGTCCACTGTATCAGAATGGCTACTTGCCCTGTCTGTTTCCTGTTTCCTCCTCACCTACATACCTCATTTCAGGAAAATACAATTAAAATCACCTCGGATACATAACAAATTCAGCAATGTCGTCAGCCCTGTAAGTCTATTTTATTTCTGATATGTTTGTGTTTCGTTGCATTAAATTGATTAATATATCATCAAGAGGATATTAAATACGACGAAAAAAACGAAATAATGTATAATATGACGAATAATAGGGACAAAAAACCTTAAATTCAATTGAACAAAATCAAACCTACAGCCGGATTTGACATCATGTGAAAAGTCATGCATCTTTTGCCGACGATGTATTTTTTCTCTTACAGGTAACACCTTGTTTTATTGGTCCGAATGCTACCTGAAGCAGTCGTTACAACTGTACGAACTGATGAGTAGATATAAAGATTCCTACAGTATTCGTGTATAACGGACGGTGCTTATCTGTGATAACATCCTATATTATTTCATTTCATTCAGTCATATTTCTTACCATCACATATCTATTTATTCTTAGATTAGGTATTTTTATACATGTAAATGTCATATTGTAATACTGTATACTTGTTTTGGTCAGCAAATCTACGCATATTGTTTTCATGTTATAGGTCTTGTTCTGATTCGTTTCAATAAATTGATTTATTTCAAGTGAATTCTACATCATGTCAACCCGGCTACAAATTCACAAATAAATGTTATTGTTTTTTAAATTGAGGATTTAGAGCTTCTTGATTAAAATCGGTTATTGCTACTGACTCACCAAACATTGGTGTCTTCATATGTGTTTTTCCGGTAGGGTTTAGTTGACCTGGATATATTTTGTATGTGCTGAAGTTTCAAATATTTCAGGTACATTTCAAATTTGTATGTTATTTTTATATGAAATGCTTGGCCAAATTTCTTGACGTAGCCATATTCGTTCCTGCCTAAATACTCTTAAATGACGAACATCACTTGAATTTTAAATAGTGCTGTTTTGCTCTAAAACACCAAAGAAACTTGAACGATCACAACTCGTCGATGTCTAAATGATTGCCTGGCGTAGGTATCATTTAAACTACATTTACAAGCAATACGTTATTTTAGGACGTATTTTCATTCAGCTTCTTTACCTATGTTGTATTTTCATATGTTGTTTGATAATTCATATAGTATTGATAAGTTAGAGTCGAGAGTTGTTTGATATCATTAGCTGCAATGGAAATACATGGTTCAGGACTACGAAAATGACTTAAAACTGATACAATCTATATAAATGTAATGAATAGAATATAAATCTGATTTTATTATTAAAACAAATGAAGAAATTGTTTTGTGTTTTTATTAAATTTGTAAGAAATGTTCTCCATACAACAAACAAGTTACATGTCCTATTGTTAACACTTAAGCCTGAAGAAAGGATCTTTATATAAAATCTTCATTTTTACACCTTATGAGTCTATGGAATCCTACCTACAGTTCATCTCGAAGCGCACAAAATACTACATCTTTAAATAAAGTAAAGCAGTTTTATCATGTATTACGCTTTTTGCATTCAATATACTTTCCGGTGCATTTCATATATTGCTTTTGGCAGTCGTATGGAAAGCTAGCAAGTGATGTAATTATACATACGAATAAAGATAGATAAGTGAGAATGGGCGTGATAAAGGGAAGTGTATATTTAATTTTCAAAATTTCAAAATATCAATTACGCTGTAAATCGAACGTCATAGCAGTGGTATTATGAAGTGTAAAGATTTAAGCCATAAGCATTGTCACGTACGAATAAGTAAACAGTTTCTTTCTGTACAGCCTACTGCTTTGTACTATATTCGATTAACAAATGTTATACTATTATACATCAAAAAGGCGAATTACAATAGTACTTCTTGATAAATACTGTGTATGCATCCACATTGAGACTTAACTCTGAAGGAGGACTGTCGTGTTCAATTCGATCTGATTGAAATTTCTCAAACATGACAAACACTACCCAGTTCTTAATGATCAACTGCTAAAGACAAATTTTAGTTGGAGTTGATCAAGAGGATGTCAGAGTATAGATGACACAGTTATGGAACCAAACATATTCCATAACACTTGAAGAAAAGACGCATGTGCATCTATTGATTCTGGTGAATCTGTTGTTGTATTGTTATTGTCATTGTTGTCAAATATGAACCCGCTTAACACGGAGCTACGGGTACTGGTGTCTACATTTTCTGTTTCATCTCTCATGGAGATAGCTCGGGCAGTAGCTTCAAAACCTTTACCAGAATCCCGAGCATTACTTTTAAAAGTTAGAATAGCAAGAGTTCCCTCAGAAATCAAGGTTTTGTTCATCAGGGAGGAACCACAATGTCTGAAATATAAACATAGTAACCACTTAGATGTTTATGTTGAATAAGCGATTATCACATTAATCATTAATCGGAACATTAATGACAGTTGCCGTATTTATACCTGTCTTATAATTATACATGTAGTACCTGCAATGAAAATTGTTTTATACAACAGATATTTATATATGTATGATATATCAAACATTTACTATTTATTGATAATTTCTATCAAATATCAAGCTTTATATGTGAAAGACAAAACTAATGCACTTTCAACATTTATACTTACATTTGACCTCGCTCAGTTATATTGCTTGTCAAGTGAACCTCTAAGTAATCGTTTCCACAATTGGTTGATTCTAAAATATCAAACTCGTCTATAACGATCTCAAGCTTCATCCCACTGTTCGCCTGGAATGAAGAATACAAAAACATGTATCTGATTCAATCATGAAAACTTCAAATCTTTTTTTTCAAAAAGCAAATAATCAAAACTATTCTAATGACTTTAGTTCTAACATATAAGATATATTTAATCAATCCGTTAGGTTATGCTTGGTAATAGATTCTTGATGTCAGTTTTATTTATCATTATTCGACATGTACCTACCTGCAGAACATACTGACATGTCGTGGAAGAAGGGTAGCCATCAGGAAACCCGGGAGATTTTATAGATACAGAGGCTGAAGTCAATCGATAACGTCCTCCACAATCTGCATCTAAGATAGTATATATATCATCCACATTAATACAGTTACATATGTAGGAACTATCAATCTAATATACCAATTAATCAAGAACCACATATCTGAAGCGATACTCTTACACCATGAACCATGTATCATGCCTACTTATTATCCTGTTATAATGTAATCAGAATCTGTAATCCAAACCGTACAGAGTCCGATTGCAGACAATGTACACATGGTTTATATATAAACTTACATCTACATCTAAATGCGTGTTTGTACCAGGTGTGAAGTTGATAAAGGTCCATTTGTCGTAATATTTCATTTTATCTTATTGTGCAGGTGACGTTAATGTTCCGATTTATAACTGATATTTCCCCTTGTCTTAAGTGTTAGGAAAGTATATCTCACATCAATCAATATTTGATACCCTTGTCAAGAGAACGTCAATTTACTATATTCAAGAAAAAATAGGTTCATATACTAGTTTTATGACATTTCCCTTACCGAATGTTTTCATACAGATTACACCGTTGTCCGATTTCATATCACAGCTTCCTACGATCAGGGATTGGCCATTAGTGGTAGCGCATCCATCTGCGTCACTGGTGCCCATCTCGTGAAGTGGCCTTCACAGATTTAGCAAATTAAACAGATCATCAAAAGTATTTGGTAAAATTAAATATAAATTGAGAAACAAAATACGTTAATACCATCACGATCCACTATGTTTACGACGCAGTGTTTGCTTTTGGTTTTGTGGTAACCGTGAGGCATGATTAATATTTACATTACTATTATTATTGTTATGGATAAGGTCCAACGACGGACAATAATACCTTAAAATTCTTGTGAAATAGTTATAAGACAAATTCGACCCATAAAAAGGTCAGCATACTACCTTGGTGCAACACTCACATGAGGCTTGCATCAAATAAGGAGCCATCAGGAAGGAGGTAGGCTGTATCACCAGTCTTACGTTTAACTCCTGCCCAGAAACTTGTAACTGACGACATCAGAAAATTCTCTTCTATTCTAGTAGTGAGCCATTTCTGATGAAGATGGGATAAGCAACAAATCTTTAGTGTTTAGTCCATATCACACAACAGCCTGTGTTTGCTATAAGTGTAATCATCGCAGCGGTTTCTTTTCTTTAAATACAAGTTAAATGTTGTAGAAAACATAACAGTACTATGTAACTATTGTAAAGTATGTTCAGTTGACATTAAAATACAGGAAACTTACACCAGAGTGCCACAGTATCGTAATTATGTTTGCTAACTATAAAAACAGTTATGTTTTTGTGATATAGCAGGAATACGATATTGAAATGACCATATGGTTCCAGATATTAGAAAATGTATTTATAAACACAACTATTCAGTCCAAAATTGAAAAAACGTATTCTTCGTTATAATGTTCTATTTAGTAGTTCAAGAATGAAATGAGAAATAATTCTGCTTAAATATGGTAAACCGAATATACTTCTTACAACATAGAGTTACGATCACACAGCTTTAGATCATACAATAAGTATACGGTAGAGTAAACCTTACCACTTCTTCAGAACTTTTAAACGATACTACGTTTCCACCATGGTTGGCACATAGATCTGTAGCTATGTCATAATCTACAGATACGGACGGGAAAAACTGATAGCAGTTACCATTAGCGTAGTCCCAAGATGTTCCACAATCCCATTTCACGACTTCAAATAAAATTAGATCCGATCAGAGTAAAAGGAAGTGATAATAAGTATGGTATATACCAACCAAATAAAGAACAGTAATTTTTAAAAGTTTACATTACATTTAAAATGACAATTTGTAGATTGTTTTCAATTCTTTAAAATGTATCGGGACTTGACTAGGTCGATCGTCGGCAAACAGGTAGTAGCTAAAGTAATACAGTGTCTTTTGCTAGAGTTAGGAGCGTCTCGGGTTCGAACCCGGTCTAGCTATGCATTTTTCCGCTCCTGTTACAAAGTGTCATGGAAAATAATGGAAGAGTTGATCACGTCGTAAATTACTACCATAAAAAGATACTCTTATACACCAGAAATGTTATCAAAAATAAATTAAAACCATATAACACTGAAGAAGTCAAATACCGCCCATGACATGAATCAGGGATAACATGTTAATCAGTAAAGAAGAAGGGAATCGCTATCACGAGCTCCCATTTAAGTTACAAAGAAACCAAACAGAAAAGCGTCTCTTTCACACATGTGACACTCAGAAAACCAGAAAGATAATGTAGGTTATAACGTAATGTCTAATTCAAGACAAGACAGTGTAATGCTGTGATTTTGTCACAAATCATTTAGTATTTGTGATATGGATTTATATGTACTGACTGTGTTGATATCCCGGTACAGGTGTCTGACAGAATTCTCCCATGAAGCCGTCCGGACATAAACAAAAACACTTCCTGTCTGATGTGGCGCCAACTACTCCACCGTTTTCACAGCTTAGATTTTGAGACTCACACCTTTCTGGAAAAAACAAAAGGAACTAAGACTATGAATCATATAAATTATCAAAAATAAAGAAAACGACTAGAATAATTTGATGATAATGAAAACAATACGAGCCATTAAAACTGCAAAGAATATAATAATATAGTTGATGTAAACCACTCGATGAACACTGAACATATCATGTAAACATTTTTCTTGTCCTGGGCTTCATTGTGTGCAAAAAAGTACGATAAATGATGTGAAAGAATAAAAAATATTAGATAACATCCAGGACAATTTGATGACATTCTGTTTACGACTTATAGATCAATTGTTTTCAATTGTGGAGTGTTGTAGTTTTTCAAACAATAGAGTATGTGCCTGTCTATCTATAAGGACATTTACGCCTAAACATCACAACTATGATGACCTACCTGTACATTTGTAAGCACGATTTACAAAGACGGCGTCATAGTAGCTGATCGTCTTGGCCTTACCTATAGGAATACACGCTTTAGTTCATGTTTCTATGACAAGGTCAACTGTAACAATATCCCCTGCGTAACGTACAAGGATTACGTAAACACAGATGGAACAATATCATATCTTATATTGTATATCTTACAGAATCTTGTTATGAAAAATCTCCATTCATCTATCTTATAACAAACAGATATCTATTCCAGGGCTAATTATTTTCACTTTCACTATTCGATCAGTCCGCATCAAGAATATCAAAACACAAGCACAAATTCATAAACAAATTTAATAAAATTCATTGTTTTATAGAACTTCCTAGATATCTAACTCGTCTTATCAAAAGTGTTTCTCTTTTTAATTCAGGGCAGTATATAAATTCATGTTATATAAATATTTTCTCAACTGAATACTGAAATTACTTGACTGGTGTAGACCTTAGGTAGTTTAAACGCCCCCTCTTACCTATGACAGACTGGTAGGCTGGGTCTGTTGTCAGCATGGCGGGCTTCCCATTAACAGACCAGTACTGCAAATAGCAATACCTCCATATCTACAAGTTCTTAGTAAACTGACGTAATGAGAGCTATTTTAACATACTATAAGTCTATGAAGATATAAATATCAACATGTGCTTGTTTTTGTTTTCTTTATTAGATACGAAAACAAGGAAACATATATATATATATTACCTTAGGGAATGACTTTCTCTCGATCATCATACCCAGTAAATAAGTCTTAATGCATTTGCTTTTCAATTAACCTATATTAATCTGTAATACAGAGTGTGTAAGTATGTGAAGATATATACTTGTATGGAAAATATAAACAATATTTTGTAGTATTATAGATAAATGAGGTCCATGTTTCATTTCGTTAACAGCATAACATACAAGTTCAGAAATATTATACAGAGGTGTCTTAATCCACCAAAAACTTAAGTGTAGGAGTTACCTATGACGAGACTCATTAACCAATGTGAACTCACTTTTGGTCCATAGTGCATAATACTTTTATAATCATAAGGCGTGCCATGATAGGGGTATGTTCGGCCCTTCATGGCGACCGTGTCGTAGTTCCAACGGGAGTCAGGATTGATATTCTCGTACTGGACTGTGATATACGTGTCTCTGTCATTCCGTTCCATTGTATGTAACATCCCTATAGCATGACCCAGCTCGTGAATAATCATGTCCATCTGTAGTATAGCACAGTAAGTACACAGATTCGGCTTAAATGGTTATTTGTGATACGTTCCTTCTACGATCAATATGATCCTAATGGAATCAACAAGATGCACTTATGGAAAATACATAATGTAGTCCGTGGTACGATTTTATCGAGTGTTGTTTTTGTTGTTTTTAAACTGTTAATTAGGAAATTGAAAAGTTAAAAAATTGGGCAATTATCTTTATAATAAGCATAACACTCACTATCGTGTAGTGTATCATACAAGTTGACTACTTACACCCATGCAGTTGGCTCCTATAGAGATGGGCTGAGGCTGAAGAGGGAACATACCATATCGGGAAAAACATCTAAAAGATAAACAAGATAAGTAGGTGTATTGTAATACTTCATTAGAGGGTGTCTCTCTATCAATTCCAATTGTACACCTGATCAGAAACGTTCGAACTCACGTTATGCCGTTGATAAACGTTAGGTAACGGGTTGCTCCCAACTGTTGTTGCATGTCACTAGTCCACGGTACAAATTTGATACATGTCTGTTGTTCCCAGCGAGCCATGCCAACTCGTATGCTGTTCCGCTGGTCATCAGCTACATTACATAAATGTGTTATAAATTAGATAAAAACGATAATGACATATTGGTAATAAAATTAAATCTCGACAAAAAATAGACATTTTATTTATTTGATACAATAATTCAATGAAATCATTAAGTTTGTTTCTCTGTGTCCCTCCTTATCTAATCTCCTTTCTTCCAGTAGGCAATCGTATGTCCTGTTTTTAACATTTATGATTCTTCGATAGTGGACACCAACATCTGTTTTAATCAACATTATTAGGAGAAAATAGTCGCCCGATAGATCATATTACTAAACAATGATTATCAGGTTATTGCACCTGTGTAACTGCAACTATTAGAATTAAGAAAATAAATAAATCTTACTATAAGTTGATGGAAAGGTATAAGGAATGACTCCGTCTGGCCAATATGACACGCCATCAGGACTGGCAACATCTTGTCGTCGGAATCTGGTTCTGGCATTCACCTGGTGCGAGTGGCATATGGTAGAAAAATGGTTTGAATGACAATGAAACCTACTGGGGAAAATGACGAAAAGTATGCAGAAGGAATTACGTATACTGTAAACACATCTGGATATAGCAAGAATTTGATAGGAATCAATCCGCCTTTCCATTGGGAATAGACGCGCACAACGGCCAAGTCATGTTGGGTAAAAATGTCACAATTTGCTAAAGTCATTTTCGACATATAGTTCTCGAGTCATTGTAGGCGGATGCACCTATATATTGTTTAGAGACAACTTCCTATATCATGAGACCAGAAAATGGTGGGGAAAGCCATCAGGATAATTGGTTTGAAGTTTACTCAACACCCCTCGAAAAGTTTTAAAATGTCACCCACGAATGGCGATATCGCTGTTCACATCACATGGAAGTTATACTCTCATTTTCTTGGGGGATAGTACACTGTTATTCTGAGAAAAAGTTACAACCCGCCATAGGATTGTGTTATGGCTTCAAGTTGAGAAGTCATATCAAGACACACTTCATAGGTCATTTATGATGGTAAGATAGAGTCAATTCACCAAAACAGTTTACAGTAGTTTATGAATGGAAAATGGGCGAGAGAAAAACAAAATCACATCTTTGTGATGAAGACTTTAACCCTAGGGATAACATAATATTTGTTTTGCTTTCTACGTAACTCCATGCTATATACATGTTTATAGAAGTTTTGTAATAATACTATTTCCATTAGACAGAAGTAAAGTTTATGCAAAACGATTTTAACCACTTAACACTGATTTTAATCTTGTTTCAAGTTATAGAGATGACCAACTGTTATTTTCTGCATTCGAACATATGATCCTATCGCAATATATATAATAGATCTACCTAGAAAACATTGTTTCGTTTGAGCATATGGTGATATGATCATGGTGTTATATAATCTACAATCATATAGAGACAGCAATAAACATGTTATTTCATTATCTGGTGATGTGATAAATCAGCCATAATTTCAGGAAATGGTTATTATAAAATGGTTACCTGCTGAACTCCACTTCCCACCAAAACCGCTAGCACCAGTCGAGCCACAAATCCAGTCCCTAATGGCGTCGCGTTCTTACACTGCGACATCATTTTTGTCCATTTCCCTAACGCAAATATAAATACCTGACGCTAAATATAGCCACCGTTATCGTGTTAAAGCAAACATTTTACAATCTGATATGAAAAGTATATAATATGGAAATTAAAGTAAATATTATACAGGTGATCTGTCAACTTTACACATCTGTATCGTTCATTAAATACTTGCACACTAAAGGTAGGAGTAATTTATCAGACGAGAGTTAGAAATGACTGATCTAGCGCATAAATAGATATTTAGTTGCATGACATTTAGATTTCAGTTTAAAATTGTTAATTCCGGCGTCACGTGATAGGTAAACGTGGAATGCGCATAGGTAAGAGAGTTTTTTTATAGACAATGTAAGGTAATTAAGACATCTACTTCATATCATGATTTACTACTTCCGGTTTTAACTTCTTGGAAACATTAGAACAATATGAATACGATCATTTGTGGTTTATCAGCTACATACTTGATAACACGAATTTATCTGTTTGAGCTATAAAAATGCGTCCTTCACAATCGCTAATGACGTAATAAATCAGTATCCGGGAGTAAATACATAACTTGTATCACGGAGAAATTTTACGGATGTTTTAATGATTTCCCTTTGGGATATGAAGATGGGTGTGCTTGATGCTCGTCAGCGTACCCTCTGGTTCATCTGGGAACGTTACATCACTTACTGTGATTTACCAAAATTCACATGGCGGATGTCGCCGATGAAGCAGAAGACGTTTACTCTTCCGGAACACTTTGTCCAGGTCTAATCCTCCTGCTCTTTTTCAGTTTCCACGTGAACCCATCCTGTGCTCATATTTTGCCTTAGTTTCGATGACCTTGAGTTGGAATTTAGACTGTCGGTACTAAATGTTCTTTGGAAATCTTTCGTCATTGATGATTTATCAATTTTTTGTTAAAATTTAGGTTTTGACCTTTATTTTGGTTTTCCCCTTTCGTGTGTTAGATTTCAATCAAGCAGGTCCTTACCACAACTGGCGAGTACTATATAAATTGTGTGATTTGGTCAAATTCCTCGTTTATCTAATCTGGTTTGAAATGGTTTTACCATCCAATAAACTTTAATTAACTATGTATCAACACTTCGTTACATGCTGAGGTGTGCTAATTCTAAACAATAGAAATCGCTAAACCGTAATTCCCTAATAGAATGTTAAATTGGGAAATATAGATACTACGCTCATATACGATTCTACACAGATAAGGAGTGTTCTATATTCCAAAAAGCCGTATACATTTATTAATTTGTAAAGGATATTTGTAATATACAAGACAGTTTACAGTAAGGCTGGGAGCTGTCTTTATACGTAAATGTGAGATAGGGAAGTACAGAATTGTTACATAATATTTCTTAAAACCGACAATTCATCACGATAAGGTGTTATCATCATGTCTTCCTTATGTCAATATCAATTTACATTGATGCGACTTTTTTCTGAATTTCGCGGAAAATGTCAAGATGAGTGGAAGAAGATAAAAAGATTTCTGAGCGACATAGTAAACATTATAGGATACGTGATACTTGTATCGACTTATCTTCATCATATGGTGTCTATCCGTTACAACAAATGTATGACTCCAGTAATGTACTTAACATTGTACAGAACAAAATTCATAAACAGAGTTTTGGTAATAATGTTCCCATCTGACCTTTTCAAATCCAATATATGAATAATTGAAAATGGCAAATTAGTCAAGGATAACTCTGATGTTGAGTTTGTTGACATTATACCGTTACTCAAAGACTACTATTGACATATCTTCTAAATCAATTATAATTGGTCAAGGAAATATAAATAAAGCACCTGTACTACAATACCGAGCTATTCTCCAGAACACAAAAAAGTTTTGTTAATAGATATTATACAAAGTAAATAAATTTTCCTTTGCCCTGATTTCCACTTCCGGTTTTGTTAACCTATCGTACTGATCTTAATACCTCTGTGTAGGTATAATGAGACAGTTTATTTACATGATCAACTATATGACCTAACAGGATGCCCTCTACATATATCTATCCTGAACGTTCATTCAACCACCTGGCGGTGTAATGGTTTCATGTAAATCAATTATATCGATTTGAAAACATGTCTGTCACTTGGTCATCGGTCCATATATACCTCGTTGGTAAATTGTCGGACAATAAGCACATCTATTGTACACTTTGACTATAAATCTATCTGTGGTATCTAAGGATCTATCGTTATGACCAATATACAGATAAAATATTGATGAAGACAATTTTTTCATCAATGCATTTCTTTTAATATTTCATACATTTCCCAGTGTTATTGCTTATCTTTTTTCAATAAAGTGTAAGATTTATGTCATGAACCAAATTCATTAATATGTATAATTAATAGTGTAATTTTGAGAATGGCTGGGTTTCATATAGTTATATCGATGAGGCGGATATTTAGTGACCGACTACATGATGAGTCGGTCACAAGATGGAATGAAAGACAGGCTTATTGATATCTAACATTCTGCTGTCCACCATCAGACTCATCTTATCACAGACAGGACTCTCAACAATAAATCTCAACCATTTGTCCTATTACCTTATGCAAGAAACAAGTTTTTTTTTGCAACATTGAATAATAATAAAATCATTACAAAGCCTCATCGAGGCAACCTTGACCGATTTACAGATGTTAAGACAAGCAGAACGTTAAAATATTTGTACTTACCATACCGTCTATGCAAAGTCCAGAGCTACGGTACACGAGCCAAACGATTCTGACACAATCTTCTGTCGTTTGTTACTGATCAATATCTCTACGATTCAGCTTCGAACTGACTTGGTGTCCATTTCTATTTGTTGATTGTTTCCGGAATTGTATTTGGCGTGTTCTTGACATAATATAATTAGATTTTCCTGCGATAAAATAAGTGTAACGCGCATCCTTCATTGTTCGTAGTCAATATTCACGTCTCCTTATTTCTGTGTATTGGGGATTAACTCCGTCCTTCTCGTAATAAGTAACCACCAGACAATTACTGTAATCGAATTACGACGATCGGTACAGCTTAATTTGTACGTTCTCAAGTATGGTCCCAGACGGTGTCGCATTGTTCTTCAGAATACTCTCCAAGACTTAGAGCTCGTGTCAGTGGACACTCTATTCTGAGACAGTCAAGGATTAGTATATTACTAGGTGGAGAATATGTTCTAAGACGAGAATTCATTTGTAACTAAAATTACAGTACTAGTAGACTATTAGCAAAAAGTGTTAATGGAGAATTCAAAATGGTCATTTGTTCAGTAATGTTTTAGATCAGTTTAATACCAATTAATGCCGTAGAGGTACATATGTTCGAGAATTTCTGTATTTCGGTATTTTCGTAGATAAAACCAGAAGTCCCGGCAAGAAAAATGCATCCATTGTGTTTCAAACGTTTGGTAAAACAGCGGAAATTTCTACCATGGAAAAATTGTATTGAGTATGGAAATAACAACATAAAATGTACGTATACAGTATATATCTATTTATGTCATATAAGCCATATTTTATACAAAATACGACAGACAATAAGTAAAAAACGACATATATTGAACACTATAACAGTTAACAACGAACCAGTAAAATGTATTAAACAGAATTACAAAACTAGTTACACAGTATTGCAAACATGGCTGTGCAAGTATATACACTGCAACTAAAAAAAGTACACGTGTACCATAAATAACATTGACTTAAATGGAAATGTGTTTTTCTAAATATTTGTTGTGATATATTGCTACATACGTGGTACCGAGGACTGAGGTATGCCATTATCAGATAGCGGAGCAATGGGGTTTCTACAGTAACGTGTCAACCATAGATAGCAAAGGCCAACGGGGTCATTCATTCAGTGATAAAACGCGGATGTGTTTGTAAAAACAAAATGTGTATGATGAATTAGGTTACTGTCTAATACAGGCACATGGATCTTTCGAAATCAACAGGAACGTCAGCCTTAGGGATGGATAAAATTCAGGTAAGAACACGTATCACCTTAATGTACTATCTAGAAAGAAAACATTGTTGAAGTTTAAAACTGTGTTCATCATATATCTACATAATATATTAAACACATATCAAAGGGAGGCGACAGACGACGATTGATGGTCCAGCCGCCATTAGCCTGGTGGTGTTTATCCTATGAGTCAGTGTTTGATATGCTCTCATTATATCAGTTCTATGATAGCAAAACATGCTAGTGACTAGATTACCGAGAATGAAACGTATTTACGATGATGTAACCTAGACAAGTGTCTGCTACAATTATATCGGGACTTTTAAGATTGCCTTCCGGCAAACAAATGACGATACCAATAAAGGACAATGTCTAGTTGAACTCTTATTACGAGGAGAAAATAAATACAAGTTTTGTGTATAGCAAACACTGATGTTGTGATATTCTGACGTAAGCGACTTGTGTAAGGACTAAATTTGTCATCCGTAACAGCAAGAAGGAAACCGGCTCGATATCAGTGGTTAGGTCAATACAGGGCCAGTTATTTGTAGTGAAAGGGACACAGGTTTTAATATATGTGGTTAGGTAGATACAGAGTCAGTTTTCTGTAGTAAAAGGGACACAGGTTGTTGATATTTGTAGTTAGGTTGATACAGGGCCAGTTATCTGTAGTGAAAGGGACACAGGTTGTTGATATTTGTAGTTAGGTTGATACAGGACCAGTTATCTGTAGTGAAAGGGACACATGTTTTGATATCCATGGTTAGGTAGATACAGGGCCAGTTATCTGTAGTGAAAGGGACACAGGTTATGATATCTGTGGCTAGGTACATACAGGGCCAGTTATCTGTAGTGAAAGGGAAACAGGTTATGATATCTGTGGCTAGGTACATACAGGGCCAGTTATCTGTAGTGAAAGGGACACAGGTTATGATATCTGTGGCTAGGTACATACAGGGCCAGTTATCTGTAGTGAAAGGGAAACAGGTTTTGATATCTGTGGCTAGGTACATACAGGGCCAGTTATCTGTAGTGAAAGGGACACAGGTTATGATATCTGTGGCTAGGTACATACAGGGTCAGTTATCTGTAGTGAAAGGGACACAGGTTATGATATCTGTGGCTAGGTACATACAGGGCCAGTTATCTGTAGTGAAAGGGACACAGGTTATGATATCTGTGGCTAGGTACATACAGGGCCAGTTATCTGTAGTGAAAGCGACACAGGTTATGATATCTGTGGCTAGGTACATACAGGGCCAGTTATCTGTAGTGAAAGGGACACAGGTTATATCTGTGGCTAGGTACATACAGGGCCAGTTATCTGTAGTGAAAGCGACACAGGTTTTGATATCTGTGGCTAGGTACATACAGGGCCAGTTATCTGTAGTGAAAGCGACACAGGTTATGATATCTGTGGCTAGGTACATACAGGGCCAGTTATCTGTAGTGAAAGGGACACAGGTTATGATATCTGTGGCTAGGTACATACAGGGCCAGTTATCTGTAGTGATAGTAAAACAGACTCTGTAGTATGAGGCAAGAATATTGTAAGCATTATTATCTTTGGGGAAGTAATAATTTCCCTTTCATCTGTGGTGAGGGTGATTCTGGCCCTGTTACACAAATGAGTAATATTGGGGATGTTAACTGTGTCAAGCGTGATGCAGGACATGTTTTCTGTGGTAAGAGTGATTCTGGTTCTGTTTTCTGTGGTAAGATTGACTCTGGTATGGCTTTCTGTGGTAAGAGTACTCTAGTTCTGTTTTCTGTGGTAAGAGTGACTCTGTGTCTGTTTTCTGTGCTAAAAGTGACTCTGTGTCTGTATTCTGTGATAAGAGTAATATTTGGCCTGTTGGGGCTGACATCAGTGGTGAGTGGTTCTGTGCTTGTTATCTGTGGTGAGAATAACATTGTTGCTGACATCAGTGGTGAATGGTTCAGAGCCTATTATCTGTGGTGAAAGCACCATTGGGGCTGACATCAGTGTTGAGTGGTACAGAGCTGTTATCTTTGGCGAGAGTAACATAGGGGCTGATCTCAGTGGTGAGTCGTATAGAGCCTGTTATCTGTTGTGGAAGCACCAATGTGGCTGCCATCAGTGGTGAGTAGTATAGAACTTGTTATCTGTGATGAGAGTAACATTATGGCTGTCATCAGTGGTGAGTGGTATAGATGCTGTTATCTGTGGTGATTGTAACATCGGGGCTGACATCAATAGTAAGTGGTTCAGGGCATGTTATCTGTGATGAGAGTAACATTTGGGCTATCATCAGTGGTGAGCGGTATAGAGCCAGTTATCTGTGATGAGAATACCATTGGGACTGACATCAATGGTGAGTGGTACAGGGCATGTTATCCTGTTATCCATGGTGCGAGTGATACATATTGTTATCAGTGGTGAGTAAAATGCAATGTTTGTTTCAAATGAGAGATGGCTGCAAAAGTTGTTGTCAGTGAGAAAAGGGATACACAGACTGTTGTCGGTGGTCAGGAGGTACCGACTGCTATCAATGGTCAGAGAGATACAGGCTGGTTCCAGTGGTCAGTGGAATATAGACTGTTGTCTTAGGTCATGGGAATACAGGTTCATCGTTGAAAAGAAAATTGGTGGTGGTGGAGGTAGAGACTATTATCAATGGGCAGCGGGATATGGAATGTCATCTTTAATCAAATCGATACAGGATATTATCAGTATAGCCAGGTGAGAGAAGGGATGTTATCCTTGGGAAAGTTACAGGCTGCTATAAGTGTTCAAAAACATACCAACCGGTACCCATGGTTGGAGGATAAGGGTTGATATGAGAAATCAAATAGATGGAGAAGTTATAGAAAAGGAAGAAATATCATATCAGTTGTCAGGAAAAAAGCTGGTCTATAATCCTTATCCTTATGATCCTTATCCTCAGTAATGTTGAAGAACACATGTATTGATCCATGTGAACTTCCGTTATTGTACCTATCCAGTTTTCATACTCTCAACTTACTAAATATTGGTATTAGTATTCCATCCGTACAAGGTTTAGGAAATTGCATATTGTTGGAAGTTGGCAAAGTGCTGTGACTTGAAATGATGTGTGTCTGGGTTGAAATAGAAAAAAGATAAATTATTAATGACAAATGTACAATGTAGATTCAGATGGTAGTCAACGCTCAAAATTAGTTTCGAGGACTAACAGCATTGTGACAGAAGCTATCGACTTACATAAAGGATCAACTCTTCGTGTGGTTGACACATGCTTTCTGATTGATATAGACCTTCATAAACCCCTGTTTACCTTACACAGGAGGACTGCACCTTTGTAAAGAGACCTGTCATACTTAGAACGAGTCTGAATTTTCAGGAAACAAGATTATTGATCTTTGACGTGAATTGTAATGTCAATCTCCTGTTTATACATATTATGATGCAGATAATAATTAACATTAACACATCTATTGTAAGTCAATGTAAGAGCACATTATGATTTCACTTTACGTTCTGAAAGGGACAAGAGTGTTAAATTCTTCATTTTCAGTTCCCTTTATTGAAATTCCATATTCAGTTATTTCGTGTTCGTTTCAATATAAAGGTTCATTAAATAACGAGATATTCTGAAAGTTTGAGCACACTCTTCCGAGACGTTCGGGTTCATGAAGACGACAGATTATTTAGGTTATCTTGTTGTTTTGTTGTTTCTATATTGTTAAAAACGTAATATCCCTTAAAATGGCATACATTTCGGATATCGCAGATAAAGGAGAAGACAGATATATATATATATATATATTTTGCAGTAGTGTTCGTGGCAATCTTTTGTAGTTTTATGGATTTTTTAAAATTTCGGTGTTCTTAATTTTTCACTGTCAGCATCTTTTTCAGTCTGCATGAAAATAACGTTAATTTGTTTCTAATTAGTTTTAATGTGCTCATAGTCACATGTGCCAGAACGGTAGATCCTAAGTTATATCTAGAATTTCACCTGGAATGATAGCTTCGTAAAGTAACGGCTATGAATTAAATTCTATCAAAATGACTAGAATAAGTAATTCAATTATGAATGGAAGAAACGACCCATGATAGAACCTGAATACACTTGAAAAACTACAAAGAAAATACGACGTCGTCATCCAAAGAGAAAAAATATAATTTATTTCATCGAACAAATTCGCTGTATATAATGATACATCTTGAACATACTTTAAATGACGTCATACACTTAAAAGGAGTTCGACGACAGTGATAATTGGAAATTGATAATCAGAATCTAACACAAAAAACAGAAAGCATGTTAATTCCTCTTCATTTTTAATTGTATACCAGTAACATGCATCACAAGGAGTAATATTCACTATTTTGATCATATTTAATAATATTCAAAGAGATTTGATTATATCGGTCGACCTTCACAGTTTTGTTAGCGTACAACGTGTACATCCTTGTACATCATATAACCTGCATAACGGAAATTGTTCGAAGGTTTTGTTGTCTTTGTGACAAAAATACCATCCAATTCATAGGCATTCAGACATAAGAATGATATTATTACTTATTCAAGGATTTGTTAACCCTTGCTTTGATGTCGTAAATACAAAACACAAATTCTGCAGTCAAGTATGATGTGAAGTGACAAATTGATGTCATGCGTAAAGAAATGATCATTCAATTGATTATGTTTTGATCTGTTTCAAGTAATGTATAATTTATTTAAACTGGAATTTCTGTCAACCATGAAGAGGATTTAATTATATCTCTGCATACAATGTTTGTTGTCTTTAGTTGTCTTTAGTCATTAGTAATATCACTATGTCTTCTCATGGTAATACTGTATCATCAAAACTTACAATAACAATACCTATTGTTACAATCATACACCATAACAAAGGTATTAAATCTCATTGTCATAAACAATCTCAAACAACAGCTGATTGAAGTCAAAGACCACGTGACGAGGTGGCGATAGTGTTAACAAGATCTGATAATGTCTTTGATATGTCTTTGACAGTTGATCCTTAGGGTCAATATTTCTAAAGCTAAATCACTGTTTTTGGTTTGTGTTTCCCGATTTAAGTGTCAATAGGAAACACAGTGGTAATGAACATTATATTAAATTTGATTGTTAAAAATATAATTAATGTGATGTTGATAGTGTTTTATGTTCCATGTATACTAACAGGTTACTCACCACGATATTGGTCCGTTATAGAGTTAGCAAAAGGAGGTGAATTTCAATTTTTCAATTGCAACTGAAATTCTAGAATTAACATGATTTATTTCTTAATGTCTTATGCTGCCAGTGACTTATATTATAAGTGTTAAACATATCATCATTGTGGTAGGTATATAAGGCAGGTAAGATACCTGTATCCGTATAACAACAAACAGCTACAGTTAAAGCGCGAGTCAATCGATAAAGTGTCTATGCAACATTGATGACAGTTTGTATATTGTGTACAACTCCAATCAGAGATACAGCAACGGATATATCCTTAATTGATGTATACCAACTTTCACTGTGTCGTATTTGGCAAACAATGGCTAACCGTAGTGTTGGGTTACTGACATTTCAGCACTGTTAATAGCACACCTGTTTGGAATCAACCAAACGATACACAACATGGCTGATGATGATATAGTTAAGCAGGCAGCAATGAGGAGAGAAAGGAACAAATCCAAAAACCGGATCGGCGATGACTTGTTTACAGATAGTCCAAGGACTCCCATGTCAACTCCAAGACAGGTATGTGTGTTATGTAGAAGATTACACTACCGGTAGTGGCAGAGTGTGTATCATGTTGAAACATTTCTAGTTCTATTTTTACTATACTGTTATGCGGAATCTAGGACAAAGTCGATATATTCCATGAGATACATTTACTTATCAGTCCAAACAAATCAAACATGCCAACCTCTTCCAATCAACTGAGTACAAACAAGTCGTGTGTTTGAAGTCGATCCGCATATATCAAGATACTTTTGCTCCATTAAAACATAATTGTAATGCTCGGCTGACATGGGGAAACCATGATATCTAAATTAGTACAAAGATAAATATGATTGTAGAAATAACAGAATATCCAAGACCTCTGTAAGAAGTATTTTCAGGGTAAGCTTTCTGTCGAGGGTGTAGAAAAACATTATTAACATTTGCACATCAAAAAATGGCAAAAAGCAGTAAATATTCCCTTTTATCACGTTAAAGCCAAATTATGATGACATTGGAGACTGCATTGTATAACTAAGTGAACTATCTCGTGAATAGTCTGTTTATATATATTTTTTTACACGTAGCCTAAATACCTGTTCTCTATATGAGAGAAAATATCGTTCATAAACACCGAATGTCACCTAGCTGTAATTCCTAACCTAGGGTTCTTTATACCACATATCGATTAATGGAAGGAAAAGCAAGTGAACTCGATGTCTAAACAGCCGAGATGTTCCAGGTAGAAATCAATTAATCACTTGATGAATTATTGATTACAAAGAGACAGATATCTGTTTAATTATATCTTTTACGTTAGAGCTACCTTCGTTGCATTTTACTCTGTATCTTTATTTGTAATTGATGTACGAAAATGTACAATTTTTTTACATTTTGAAGTAGACTCCAATTAACATCCTGTCATTTTGATGGTTGACCTGCATATGCCCTGTAGGTCTCATTAGATTTGAAGACCTGTTTCTGTTAAAGCTAAATTTCTAAAAAGGCGATGGCAAGATAGAGCAACTGCTTTTATCCAGAGGTTTGTGTTGGTAAATGATGTTTTCCATTTATCCTCTGATACAGTCGAACCTCGTGATCTCGAACTCGGTCAGACCATTGGAAAACTTCGATGTAACTGAGTTTTGTATTCAAGTGAAGTAAAAGTAAGGCAGGAAACGACAGAATGCTTCGAATTAAATGGGGTTTTCGAGGTATTCAAGTTCGAGATAAAGAGGTTCGACTATTTTCTATAATTGATCGTGTATTCAATCTTGTACACCGCAGTCGATATCCAACAGGATTTAACGACATCCTCGGTCTTCTTTGATGTGGATAAAAATATCGGGTTTGGTATTGATTTATTTCCGCAGTTAAAATTGATTTGTCAATAGCTTTGATATTATTATAAACGCAATGTTTAATCAGAAAGATCAACAGCCAACATATCGACCTGACGAAGTATTAGCAAAGAAGTACGATTCATCAGCTGTTTTTTTACAATGCCATACAAAATGTCTATATATTTTTTTAACCTATGACAAATTATAATTTCAGTTATAGCATTCTTCTCGTCTATTTTTCATTGGGTGATATGGATGTTGTTTGTGTTTCTCCGGATCTTGCGTTTGTTTTTCGGGTTTGACCATGTGAGCTTGTTTGCACTTATGTAGAAAAGAAGTGCGTAAAGCATTCATAGCAAAACTGTTTATGGCATCTAATCAAAAGGTAATAACCCCTTTGCAATAAACAGTTAAAGAAATAAACATTATTGTGTTTGGCGATTGCAGCTATGGCTTTGTCATCAAGAGGTTAGGTGTTTGTACAGTGAAAATGAATAGATGGCTGTGACAAAAAGATGTCAATAAGTTTTTTTTTTTTTTATCGGGAACATTTGAATAGTTGTAATTTCATAACAATACACACATACACTGGACACACTGGACGTGAAGCAGCCTAGCAACTGCCTTGCAAATTTGAATGGCAAGAAAGTGTTTTATAGGACGGTCCATAACATCAGCCTCATCCAAGGCTACAACGTCTTCAAACGGAAAATGATAAAGTCATGACAATTTAGATGGTTGATAATGTAATACCTGACAATACTTAAATAAAAATATCGACGGAAAGGAATTTTCATTTACTTACACTGTTAACAGGGCTTGACATAATCGATATTTGAAATGCCATAATTAATTATGGATATTTTCATGTTCATGCTAACTTTCTTGAGTTACAGCAGAACCGTTCAGATATTTTAGCTTTGGAAGGCAAATGCTCTCTTTTACCTGTGCATGATACAAATGTATATTTATTGCATGGGTAATTGTTTGGTGGAGGAAATCATTTAGTAGTGACAAAGACCAGATTAATTTTTTACTGTTTTTTGTTATTTTTGTTGTTTTGTTTTTGTTTTACTGAATATTGTAGACAATAGATAAGAAAATGAATGTTAAGGACGTGATAAATGACTGTGATTTAAAGCAAAGTTATGTTCCTGGATACCATTTTATTCTCCGAAATACCATATAATTTCTTGTCCTGGTAGATGAGATTATGACTTACATGAACATAATATTCAGCTCTGTATCTCAAATATCCATACACAGCTGTTCCTTGTTTTAATGTTTTTTCTATCATGTTGTTTTAGGAACATACAGGACGAAGATCACATTTAGGGACAGATATTGCGGTAACTGATATTACCGACCATGAACAAACAAAAGTTGACCGGGATCTACTCATCCCAAGGCGTATGAATACTCATCGACGTAGTCATGGTAACATTGAGAAGACGATAAAGCGACCTGTTGGAGACACGCCTTGTCTGCCCTTTATAGAATGCAAGGTATTAACAAATTATGTATTACTTATATATGTAAATATATGATAATTAGTATGTTTCTATGTTGAAATAATGCTTGGTCCCAGTTTAAGCACATTAGCTTGTCCCTCGGATGGACTGATTCACTCATTGAAACATCTCCGAGGTGTTGACAAGATGTTCTTTCATCTGAAATAGACACGTGATTTTGTCTCACCTTTCTTTGATGTGGCTTTGGTACATTAACGGCTGGAAACATTCACAGTATTTGCAGTGAACTGTGTAGACATTTTTGTTTTGATCTTATTTTCCTTATTCCCCGCTTAATCCAGATTTTTATTCATTTTAACAGATATTTTCTTTCAATCTAACTCATTTTGTAAAATAGGTTATGATATAAATTGATTTTTTTTCTCCCTTCCTTTGTGTTTTTCATTTTTATATGAATGAAACATAATGAAGGTAATGCACTTAGTTATGTGTACATATTATACGTTTTCCAACTTATTATCAAAATATATATAGAAAATCCCCGGGATTCATAAAAACAGTATTGTATCTTAAACAGTTGATTAATATAACCTATTCATTATAGATAAACATGCAAAAGATGCACTATGATAGGGTGAAATGGCGTTTTGAGAAATGCGACTGCAATGATAAGAAGCCTAGTTACGTTTTCCTTTTTCCAACAATTCGTTGCATTTTACTACACCAGGGTGATCGGAAGTCTTGATCGACAAGTGAATTGCACGCCATAGACTCTAAATATGGCCATAACTCAAATAATTATTTATGAGAAGTCTATATATAGACCTCACACCTGTATACAATATATTGGTACTGATGCAAAACAAGTGTAAACAATACAGGTTGCTGTGATGTTTTTTATGTAATCTATTCACCAATGATGCACGTGTATGGATATAGAACTTAGTCACGTTTATTAAACACGCAAGGTTTACTGCAATGAAGTATAAATGAGTTTTCTATGTATATTATATTTCCAATGAATAAATCCATAGTTCAGACGATTACCAGTGTATGACATATCTGTGTGTGTATCGTTATAAGTTACACTGCTTTATTCAGTAAGTAACTAGTTATATACATATTTATATTTATTTTTACAACCAATGCAAAAAAGTATAAAGTAATCACACTTGCAAGCTATGCAAGGGGTTTTACTATGGTAGGAAACCAGCGTCTCCAGGATAGACCCACGTGTTCGGGCAGGTGGTCCTATGGTATCTTCACGTCTGAAAGAGGAATAGAACCCGGGTTATAGTTATGAAAGATAACTTGTACATCGTAACGGCGATGGCCCTGATATCAGCAACAAAAAAGCATTTAACGTTTCAATCTGTTGACTTTACATTGTAAAGCCATAGCGGTTGTCCCAATAAAGATCCCATGACAATGTGTGGAAGTAATATCATAATCCTATGGTAAAACGCCTCTATTCGTCCTATTTCTATTACCGAGCTTAAAATCTTAAAATAATTGTTTGGAAGAAAATTTCTAAGGTTCCCCGCCATTGATCAATTTTTGGAGCCCTTACCGACTTTCTAATTTCTAATTAACTTTTGGCGTCTACTTAGTTTTTCCTAGTCCCATAGTCTTGTGTTGCCTGTAAGTTGTGTGTTTGTAATGAGATTTCGAACATTTACTTACTTGCACAATTATTAAAAAGATCATAAATACGTATTTATAATTTTAAGGCTAATGTTTTCCAGTATCCAAAAAGCAAATCACATCATTTCATAGTTACGACCATCATGGTGTCAGGTTCCAACCATAATGTAATACTCGGATGTAACATATGTAGTCTTCTGTATAGCACGAAGACGGTTCCTTCTGTGTATAAAAATTGATCTCAACACAACATTAATGAAAATTGCCAGAATAAATGTTTCTGTATCTTAATCTATGTGCATCCACTTAACAATGTGTTGAACACTAACTACGAATTACAGTCATTACTGAAAACATTAATTTTGTTTAATGGGTTATATCGGGTGTTTAAAGTTAGACGTCAGAGTAATAATGGTTTGTTAGCTACGGATGTGTCACAAATGCTTTTATTGTACAATTGTTTATCATATAACCAGTTCATTAGTTTGATACCACAGGGCACACTTCTGAATATTGACCGAAAGTGAAATAACAGGGTTTTTTTTTACCCGGTCAATGATTGTGAAATGCTACTTGGTTTTACCGGAGGCAACACCTTGGCATGATTGTGTCCTTATGTGTAATGTTTGTTTTAAATATACATTTTATTTTACAGTTAAATGGTAAGAGTGTGAAGGCATTAATAAACACGTGTGTGATGTCTTCAATTATAAACAGACACCTGTACCAACACATGTAAGTTTTAATAAGATGTCTTATCATGTCGTAATAAATCAAGACTGACTTTGAAAAAAGCTGTATAGTAAAGAAATGGCTAAAAAATGTGATACATGAACATTAATATTTGGTGGCGAACGTCTATACACCAGAGTGCAACTAAGTAATTGTCTCGAGAAAAAGACCATGCTTTTCTGGGTCGAAGTAATTCTTCCACGTAACAATTTAAAGTGCTTGAATTTGATATTGTACTATTAAGCCTTCTTAATAAGTCGTTATAGTCTTTCGTCGAGTTTGGTGGTAAGATCTTCCAACAGATTATTGGCATACCAATGGGAATTAACCTTGCCTACCTTTGGCTGACATTTTTTGTTTTCATACAAGGTTGAATTTATCTGAGAGCTATTCAAAACAAGTCACAAAGACCTTTCAAAGTCGTCTTTTTTCACATTCAGATATACTGATTACATCTTGTCTTTAAATAACGATAAAATCATTAACCACGTCAATTCTTTATGCCACCAGAACTGGATATCAGAGACAAGACAGACTTCTCCATTAGCTGCTTATCTCGGTTTGTTACTACAACGAAACCAATATGGACAGCTTTCCACCAAGCTGTATGATAAGCGTGATGATTTCAACTTCCCTATTTTCAATGTTCCATTTCTGGATAGCAACATTCCTGCAAGCTCCTACCTATGGTGTTTATATGTTTTCCGTTATCACGATTTTTAGTGCAAGAAGTCGACAACTGACGGACGAACCCGTAATGCAGGAAACCAAAAGATGCAAGTCGATAAAAATTAGAAGTTTTACGGTCGTCTTAGTAATCTCAAAATATTCTATTTCCTTGTACGATAGGAAACTTGGCGTGTTCGATGATCGTTAGTTTGCCATTGGTTCCGTTGTTGAATACCTTGTTCTCATTTGAGAACGTGAAATTGCGTAGTTGGATTGAGCAAGATTTACATGGCGGATGTCCGGCCGCAACACATCAACTCTCGATGAATCAGAATCACCGCTTATCTACTAATTATCCAGCTTTGTCGATCAGCCTACAACAACTGCCTTGTTTCAATGTTCAGCTTAATTAACCACTACTTATGTACTTTTCCTGGTGGTTGATTTCGTAGAATTCATTGCGAAAAAATATCCGTAAATGAGACAAAAACGATTCGAGTTATCTCATCGCTTTGTTGCATTGACGCATTGAATGGGATGCCATTTCGATGAAAAATGGCAAAAATCAACCATCACAACTCGTTAATCATATTCCTTCATTTTGTGACTATCCAACCATTGTTTTCGGTTTACAACTGAATTTTATATTTTAAAACACAATATCTCAATATTCTGTCTCAATGTATTTATAATCATAGAAGTAAATTGTTTTGACAGTTTCGGCTCAGATGAGAATATGGGATTTATGGGCGACATGGCTATCGGTGTTCCAATTATGGTAGAGACGAGGACGTTACAATTTGATTTCCACACTAGAGGTAGTTCTTTCGTCAATTATATTTACATTTAGAATACAATCTGAAGGCTCTGACTATCAATTCGAGATTTTGTTTTTGTATTTGTCATGGTCGATCACCTGAATTGCACCCATATAAAAACTACAATTTCAGTGATCCCTACAAGGGTCGGTGTACATGCATATCTTTATGCCTGTTTCTATAAACAATTCTGTCTATTACCTATCGACGTTTGGACCAATGCGTCTAGACTTAGTCCCTTTCACCATTTTTTAATTATTCGCTGGTCTTCTTAATTGATTGACTCCATTATTTTCAACGATATGAAGTGTCCTGTCATTCGACCTGTTTTTTATCTAATAGTTGACTTGAAACCTCGAAATAAACAGTGTTCTAAGTGAGTTTAAGATAAATGATAAATGAAAAGAATATATACACTTATCTTCCACTGAAATATCTTTTTTATTTCTCAACATCCTTTCAAAAGCATTATTATTGATTTAAAATAATGCTGTACTGTTGCTTAACTTTCATTTTCAAATCTAAGAAATACGAAAAGAAAACGTACAAAGTCATCAAATTATTACGATCCTAAATGAAAGTTTATTGACTAAACAGGTGCATGAATATCAGCTGTCTACAACCAGATATGTATGTATTTCCAGGTGATATTCCGGATGTGGTATTAGGACTAGATTTCCTCATGTCGTTTAAGGTAAGTTTTGTATTAACAGATTCGTTGTGGATACATTTATTTATTTTGAAATTATCAGATATATATTAGAATTATGAAATTTATTTAATTATAAGGCTGGTGGGCCTAATGGCCTTGTGGAACTCCTCATCACTAATTAGACATTTATTTCGATTAAGTTTGGTTTTCCTCTCTCTGAAGTCCTTTTCATCACTGGCGAGTCCCTGCTGGAGATGTTGTTTATTACCTGGCTGGTTCTACCGTCTCTTATTCTAAAGTTTCATTAAAAATCTCTGTTTTTCTGTGTGTCTGTGATCAGAAGCAGCGGTTGAAAACTATGATTTGCGAGCTTTCGAAAACGTCTCTGTTTCATGCAATAATTATTCTGGAAATGAGCAAACGTGTAAATCACATGTCAAATTTTCTTGTCTGTCGCACTCTTATACCAGTTCTTCAGGCAGTTTGAGGGATGGTTGAGGTTAAATCCATTCTTCTCCTCAATGGATGTTTAAGGAATACCAGAAAGACGCCAGAAAAGAAAAAGTTAAATAAATAAATCAGTTATTACAGAGCATAGGAGTATTTGCAAACCACATCACAATCAGAATGCATATGAAAAAGGACAACTGGAAACAGAGAAGATGGAAACTATCTGTCTGAATTCGGGCAAATTTCATTTTGATGCAGAACTGATTGAGACGAGGGCACCTAGTTTGGCATCTTGATTACACCATTTTGAAATCGAGCTCGCAAAATACTGTCTTCCATTGCTGTTGTATATTTTTGTATCAGATTTCCGTTTTCGTTTTTCGAATGTTTTTCAAATCTATACATCTTTTGTTTTACATAAAGACTAGCTTAAATATACTAGTAAATGTAATTTTCCTATACATATATATTTGCAGTGTTCCCTGAATCTCGGTGACAAGACCCTTTCCCTTGGATCAGTCAGTGATAGTGATTACGTGTGTACAAAACTTATTAGTGACCGAGAACTACCCCTGAGATATAGAACGGGGACGAATCTTGCAGCTTCGGTATAATGTATTGTGATATCGATCTCCAAATATATAAACTCAAAGATTTGTTTATTCTTTTATAAACCAGTGTTCCCAAGGTATTCTTTTTGGGAGCGTCCGCTTCCTGCCTCCATTATAGACAATCGAATAAGTTTTAGTTCAGCCCTTTTGGAAGTTACAATTAAATAAGGTTGCCATAAAAATGATGTAACACCATGCTTTGTCTGGGATGTAGTTCCTGAAGAATATTTGTGAAAAGAAATTTCAATGATGAAAGTCTCATGTGTTCATATGGATATTTTTAGAAGATTGCTGCCACTGCGTTCATTCATGTATGGAATAATTGTTGATCTATTATTATTTGGCAATTCTCAAAAACAGTAATAGGACATCAATAAACAGTAGGTAGTGTTTTCGTTTAAATTCATATCCGAAAAAGAAGAAAAGTTTGTGCGAATACCAATCTAAAGGGAGAGAACTGGAAGATAAGTAAATATTTACACAAATATCATTTATGTATGATTAATTATACAAATAAGTACAGTTTTGTATTTGTTGAAATCAATGTCAACCGCATGTTTTAAAGAGAAATTATCTATCATCTCATATATATAAATATTGACCTCTAGTCGTGCTAGGTAAATGCAATACGATAAAAAAACCTTCTGAATATTCGCTCGAAATGTGAAAGTATCAAAGTTGTATATAAAAATAAATTCTCGACAAAGACAATTTACACTTCAAATAGATATTGAAATAAATCACCTCGTACTTGTCTAATGCGTATACAATTTGAGAGTTAGTTCCGTTCCTTGTCCGTCTGGCGAACGATTTCGAATTTATCAAGTAATAACACCTTTAATATATACGTTTAAGATAGATAAGTTTATAGGTATACGCTGAGTATATTTTCGTTAGAATATTGAAATTTCAAGGAGATGGTCAGTATTCGTTGGAACATACAAAGCATGTGGAATACCAATTTAAGTCTACTGTTAGTCTCTTAGGATGATATTGTTATTGTTGTGATGTTAATAAATAAAAGCTTGCATTTGCATGTAATAATCGTTAGTCTTTATTTGCTTTCATTACATTTCACAACAACAAGACATTTAAGATATTAAAGCAATACGTGTACGACACCCCTCCCCCCCCCCCCTCTCTCTCTCTCTCTCTCTCTCTCTCTCTCTCTCTCTCTCTCTCTCTCTCTCTCTCTCTCTCTCTCTTTCTTTCTCTCGCTCTCTCTCTCCCCCCTCACTCTCTCTCTCTCCTACTCTCCCTCCCCCTCTCCCCCCCCTCTCTCTCCCTCTCTCTCTCCCCTCACTCTCTCCTACCCTCCCTCCCCTCCTCTATCTCTCTCTCTCCTACCCTCCCTCCCCCCTCTCTCTCCTCTCTCTCTCTCTCTCTCTCTCTCTCTCTCTCTCTCTCTCTCTCTCTCTCTCTCTCTCTCTCTCTCTCTCTCTCTCTCTCTCTCTCTCTCTCTCTCTCTCTCTCTGTGTCTCTGTCTCTGTCTCTCTGTATCTTAGTATTTATCTTTGTAAATAACAAGCTTAAAAAATAAGTTTTGTCTATCTGAACAAATTAAAGTATGTCAAAATTTCCTAATTTATCCATGTCCTCACAAAACCATTTTAAAGCACATTCGTCCAAATTCTGCTTAGAAAGTCCTTCCTTACACAACCTACTACATCAAGGAAGATCATAGACGTTCAAGTCTGTCCAAAGCTGGGTTCCACAGAGTTTCTACCATCAGAGACTCCTCATAAGCCCTGATCGCCCTACTAGTATCTCCTAGAGTTTGGTAGCAGATACCCAAGAGAGTGTGTACTATCCAGTGTAGATGACCACCTTGATCGTCATCGTATTTTACAGCAATTAGATGGCGAAGGGCGTTATCGCGCCCCCTGGTGTCACCAAGATCATGATAGCAAATGAATGTAAGAAAAGATGCATATGGCAGGGGAGGTATGCGAATATATCCATGTAATGGCAATTCGTCAAATTCGGGCTGGAGATGGGGAAGACAAAATGCAGGGCATTGTTTTAGAAAATATATACTCGAGGAAAACACTCGCTGTAGTTTATTAAGTAAGGTCGATCCATGTCCACAGTAGTCACGCATGTACATTTCATACTGTTTCCTGAACACATCCTGGGAACATCCTGGATAATATTGAAATGTAGAAGTTATTTTCCCACATATTTCTAATGTTGATCGAACGTTTCCGGTCAGGTAACATAATGTTGCCACGTAAAGAATTTCTGAACACCATGCTGCTCTGGGCATTAACAAGTTTTTACATCTTTTCATATGTCTGTACCTAGATTTGTTGCATGCTGACTGCGTTGGAGTTTGGTAATCTCTCATGCCACACAATGATAGTATTTTTGTCGCGCTGTAACAGGCAAGGAGTTCATCTATTTCTGATTTAGTTAAAGACAGGAGCGCATTCAATGTATGGCAAATTTGCTTGGTACAAGGAACCGGCATTAATGATAGCTTTGTGACGACACTAGTAAGGATCTGTAAGTCATTTACTGCCTCTGACTGGATTGCTGTCTGTTGCTGCATGAGCTCTGATTGGTAGCCTTTATCTAAAAGTATATCCATAATTGACGGTCGCACATATGTCCCAATCGACAAACACATCCACTTCATTTGATGAATTTCATTGAGAATGTGAAGAAGGATTTGTTTGTTCTGTCCGTGGATGTGTCTTTTAAACAGATTATTCTGTGGTATAAAGTACTGGGGACAATATCCTGCTTTCACCCAAGAACAAAGAATATTGAAGCAAAACCAAAAGCAAATAAAATGGTTCTTTTCATTCCAAAATGCTTCCGGTGTATTTTCGACTGCATGGAAAACGATGGTTTTCAAAATATATGAACTCAAAACATCTTCATCTTTGAAGACATTCTCCAAACTCTCTTTCATGTTTTTCAACAGAATTTTGAGTAGACCATACACCTTAAACTGTGTGTGATTAAGAGAATGCACTAAAAGCCTTTCTGCATAGGCGAATGATATTCGCCACTGAAGTAGTGTATTTCCAGAAGACTTATCCCCTACTGGGACGATATGACAGCCGCCTTTGATAATTTTGTCAAATGTCGTTTTTGAAGGCCATCCATACAGACGCATCCTAGTTTTCCATTCAGTTGCTTCCTTTGGCCAATCAGGGCAATGAAAAGCGTGTACCACGTCAAAGGCAGCACTTCTAAGAGTGGCCTCAGCACCGCTGCTTGGGCCATGAGTTGCTACATTGAAACCTAGATTTTGTGATTGTTTTATGTGTTCCTCTCTATAAGTCTCACTAGATATCAATGTTTTCTTTCCTACGCGATGGAAAGATTTATACAGTGGCTGCCTACATCTCTGCCAAAGAACGATCTCCAGATTTACATAACCACGTTGACAGTTGTCCGCCTCTTTCATTGCCAGTATCATATCGTATTCACTGTTTGGCGGGATGGGCTGTTCCGAATTTAAGATAAGAATACTTTTGTCTACAATCATCGCATCATTATCTGATCCACGCAAAGAAAACCCTTCAGCGGAGCTACCTGTATTAAATATCGAATTATTCTTATTGTTTGCGTTATCATATTTTTCCTTGAAGAGCAAAGTCTTCCTTCTGATTTCAACCTCCTCCTTAGTGCCAATGTCTTTCTCGAGCAACTGTGACAGCAGGACGGACATCCGCTCACTTTCTTCTGTGTCCATCATAGCTGGAGTCCGTCACATCGACCTGGATATAAAAATGTATATGACTAGTGACATCAATCGAGCATTCATACGATGATCATAGTCAGCGAGTAACTGTAACTTACATGGCCATGCACGAACAGTTATATATAAAGAAAAATCGCAAAAATACACTGAGGAGAAAATACAAAATCTGCGGTTGTTGTAAATTTGCGTCTGTTCTCCAACATTTGCTCCAGACATAAGACACATGACAGGTATATACTTTTGTAAGATATTAGCCGACACTAAATTAAGCATACATCTGCGTAAAAAGAATCAATATTGATCTAATGTTAATGTATCGAAATATTACATTCATAGAATGTTTACAGATACACGGATTTCCACATACAGGTCATTATTGTAATACCGGTATACTATTATAAGTTATTTCTTATTTATTTGTGACAAAGTCTAAGAACATTTTTGCATTTCCTTAAATTGTGACACAAGGATTGCGAACAAACGTTTTTTAATAATGTATTATACATTTAGTAATGATGAATTTTGAGCTGTTTTTATCATGTACATACTTGTTGAATACGACCGCAAAACAAATTTATATTATGTGTTCATGTATGAACTCAGAAGAATTATAAATGAATTCATAAATGAAATAAATTGACATCGGTTGCATCTGTATATCTATGTATTGTTTAATTATTTTTTCGAAAGCTGTAAATGGCTAGCAGCTACGATCGTGGCGAAGAATTTGTCACTTACAATCTGTATTGAACATTTCAGATGCAAAGTAAGTTGAGAAATATTCATGGGATTATACATATAGCGTAATAACAAAACCTAATCTTCAGTTTCCCGACTTAACACATTTTAACTAATATATTTACACACTCACTATCATACCAAATATGGGCAGACATAAGTAACAGTAGTAATGTGGTGGTCAATAACATTTTTAATTTTCATTTTACTTTATAAAGTGTCTGCCGTAAATCAGGTCCTGGCTGGCTGTAATGTTTACTCCGATATTGATTCTGTCTATATTAATACTACATCTTTCTACTGTACATGTTTCACATGAGTTAACACACTACCCAGTAAATGATCATCAAATGTAGAAACCACATGACTTTAGTTAATGATGAGTAAACCTACCAACGATTAAACCAAACATTACTCATAGTATTGATATTTATAAAGTAGAGTTACTTGTATAAGACATGTACCATACAAACATTAAATATATTAAACATTCTTTCAGATATTTAGAAGAATGTTTAAACGATGAATATAAAATCAGTCGGATGAAACCTGATTAACGGTGGTATTCACGTAAACAACATAGAAAGTCTGTAATTTTGATTTTCAGCTTCAGTGCAGCTTGATCGTCACGTACGACTTGAATAAGAAACACTTGAAATGTGTCATTAAGATGTCGATGCATAGACAGCCAACGTTGTACATGCCATTTTAGGTGTATGTTTATAAACGGCATACACACATCTATCGCACACATACAATTTAAACGCTATACACTTTACCCTAATGTATAGGTATCGCCACCCAGTGCCAAGTTATACTACTTACCTCATGTGTTACTGGTTGATAGAGACACAACTCTAGGTAACCTGGGGTAGATACCCAGTACTAGTGGCAAAGATTTATGAATCAACCGTGAAATTTTGCCATTGTGTAACGTCACATTACTTCAATGGTAATGTTGTACAAATTGGTTGAGTGTAGTTATTACACAATGCTGTGACATGGCACACTTGTAATTTAACATTGTGTTTGTTGCTATGAAAATTACACAGATATTGTAATGTCAAATGTATATAAAGTATGTATGAAGAGCTAGATACATGAAAACATCCCAGTGTAACTGAGATCTCGGTGATTGTAAGTCCAAAATAACCGTTTACTGTAAAACTTATAAAAGTGATATAATTCACTCTTACCTTTATTGGCTATATCCTGTTAGTTTGCTGGGTATATCGCCCCGTAAACAGCCAAGGTCATTTTGAAACAGGATCTTATTGAAATAGCTGCCAGCTGTCCCATTGAACAATATCCGGCCCGCCACATTCCAACAAACGCAACAAGGATGTTTGATCGTGTCCTAAGTAATAACAAATATATGTCACAAGTGTGCATAATATTTTAGCTTCTCTGCACGAGTGAAAGGCAAAAAATATTAAACACACGAATGATATATTTGTTATGATTGAAGACAACATTAAACATTCTATTTATCATATAATCATAGGCAAAATAGACGAATTACTGGTATATTTAGATGAGATATAAAAGGAGAAAGCTGACTAGGCTTTTCGCGGACACTACTCACTCACTATAACCTCGATGTACGCAACAAAATAGGGTCCGTTTTTTAAAAAATCATTTTAATATATTAACACAAAACTATTCACATAGAAAAATTACTCATTCGTGTCATTAACTGACAAAATTTGCTGTAAAACGTTCAGAGAGTGTGTAACATGTGACTACGCGGCTGAAAAATTGCGGTAACGTACAGTTCATGACAAAAATCCTATTCAAATATCTAACGTCTTAGCTCTGCATTCAAGACGTTTTGTTGGGGATTGGGTTTGATCTCTGATAAGGTAATTTGCATTGCATTGTTTGTTGACTTTCATTGAAGTGAAAGTTTACCGTGGAATTGAAGGTCGTGGTCGTGTTACTATTAAAAAACCTGTTTTGCGTTTTTGTCCCGAACTTTCCGATTTGTCAACTTTATAAGATGATTTGTGTTCTGTCTTTTCATTGGTGTAAGTCTGAATACTTCAGACACTTCTCTATATTTCATTGGCAAAAATGGCACAGCTACTTCTGCACAGACCGATCCGTTTCTAAGCTTCTAATACAATCAAGGTGGATAAAGTTCATTTTTTTATGTAATTAACTAACATTAATTAATTAACTAACATTAACTAACATTAATTAATTAACATCAAAATTTACGTGGTCATGGTAGTAGTTTTTGCTCTTATGCTTAAAATAATTTCTTTTATTAGTTATGTAATGTAATTTTATACACCTTTTTAAAGACATCTTAATTGATATAAGGCAGATCCATTTTTGACATATTCGAGAGACAGACACCCTGTTAACGTAATACAAACGCTTAGCCGTTTGTAAGCTCAGCGTTATCGTCAGTTTTCAAACGATTTGATAAATAATAGCAAGGCTGTTAAAAAGACAAAAAGTTGATACATTATTCTAAAAATGACGTTCATAACTGTAGGAGATATGCTATAATGTGTTTTATATACACCATTTTTATGTAGGATATTGGAATAGTTAGTTTTGGGGAAACCTGGGCGGTAGTGCTAAAAACCAATTACCAACGTTTCAAATGAAAAAATACATCTGGTTCAAGATCATAATTAATAATAACATTTGTAACAATTTTTTTATTCAAATTCATGCATTTCATAACCACTTGGATATTGTTTGCGGTTATATAAAACGACTGCAGCTGCACCTATCAGCACTCCAACGATTACCATTGCTATTGAGATACCTGCCACGGCACCTGTAAAAAGAAAGAGAAAACTTAGAGCAGCAAACCAGAGAATATATTTACAAATTTCAAATCCTTCAATATTGGATTCTGTAGAAAGAGTATACAAATATGCAAAGACGATATTTTCTGAAGTCGTAATACCGAAAACCCATTTTCTTTTAAACGTTATCATATTTGACGAACAGTTATCTTTTCCTTGACTTTTTATACCACAGAAAGCGTACCATGACAATATAATCGATAAGAGGAGTAAACAGATATTCCTTTTTTACGAACCTCCACTTAAACCTTTACTGGATGAAAATGATGCATGCTGTGGAGAAGAAAATGGCGTCGAGTTTGAAGAACCTGGAAAATAAGAGATTTGAATACTTATGTAATAAATCGGAAAAAGAATTAATTTCATGTTCTTAATTTTTTTCCACATCATGTACTTTTTAAAAAATTGTTCTGACTTTATTGAAGGGGAAATATCGACATGTCAATCCAAATCGAACCGCAAATTCGATGAAAATATTGACCAAAAGAAAGATTTTAAATGGAGAGTTCTGCAGAAGTGCCAGGAGAATAAGACAAAGTATTTTTCTGAAGTGTCGAAGTAATCAATGTCAGTTATCAAAAAACAACAAGGGTTCATAACAACGGTGAACTAATGAGCATCAAACACGCCAGGCTTTATATCGAAAAAGGAAACAGAATATGCCTCATTGTGATCATTTTGACGACCCAATCTCATAGTCTTCATCAACCTAGCTATCGTCGCTAAAGCAAACAAGCGCATAAACTTCCAGGAATTTCTCTCTATGCCTCCATTTTGAAAATTTTCTTTCGGCCATGAGTTCACTAAAGATCATTGTTATGATGGGTTTTCATCTAAATATTTTCAAACGTTTAGGATCAAAGAGATTATCAGAGCGTAGCTCTCAGGTGCAGCAGCCGCTCGAGCTGAGCTCTTTAAATGGTAAGAAGTTACTTGAAGTCTGAACGAAATAACTTCTATTCCTTAATATGTTACATCACTTTTTCAATGGTCTGGCAACCGGAAGCAGTGAAGAAATAGGAGGTAAAGCAATGAACCGTTTTTAAATATAATTTTGGTATATACAGAGACAACATGACTAACGGAAATTAAGGTCTACGCTATGTAAATTTTGGTCAATCAAATTAAGTAATGCCACGTTCTCAAATGAGAACAAGGTACACAACAATGGAACCAACAGGCAAACTAACGAACATCAAACATGTTAAGATTCATATCGCACAATGAAAAAGAATATTTCTCAGTTATCTCACTCTGATGACATGCATCAGAATGTGTTTTGATTTGGAACTTAATGAAAAGATTATGTTTATCCTAGATCCTCTGGTACCGGAGGTACAATTTAATGTGTAATTAACTATATTGCAATAGCCATTAGCCGACAGAGCACAGACTAGCGTCGGTGGAGCGATACCTGTACATACTAATGCA